ATCTTTCCCCCGGAGATTATCCTCTCACTCTTGCCATCGTGGGACATGGTAAGTATATGCCTCTCTGTTTCCCTAACCTTTAATATACTACCTGTTCTAGTACTTGCTACAGAATTGATCAGTGCTGCCCCAAAAGATTTTAACATTATAGGAAGATTTTTCATGGCACTCCTTTACCTCCTACCGGTAGGATGCTTCTTAGCAATTTCATTGTGGCAACGTGCCCTTTAAATTCTTTTGGCTCCCTAAACCTTCACATCCTTCTCATGTTTTTCCTCCTATTTCAATGTTCCCCCTTACCCAGAACATGGAGGTTCCAGGTCCACAGGGACGATGCAGTCTTCAACAAATCAGACTGGCCCCCGAGCGACTCATCTGTCACCTACTTCACGAAAAACTTTTTGTGGTCACCCCCTCTCCGTTGACACAGCCTGCAATGTTTCCACAAATGTCTCTTCACTTTCCTCTAAACTCACTTCAGTGGGGCCTGTCAGCGTTGCGCAGGGCCTACCCACACTCTGCCTTACTAACACCACCAAATGCTACCACTCACTTACCCCCTTCCTCATCCATGCCCTAAAACCGGAATATTTCCTTTGTAAAATTACATTATCCTATTGCCTGCCCCCAACTCGATTTCATGCGTATTCGTTTGGCTCATCCCTGACATCACTGTCCAGACAGACAGGACTGGGACTAACTTTGGCCCCTCCCTCTCAGGAAGTGCCCTGGCTCCCATAGGGTACTAACTGTACCCTTTAATGGGGCAGGGATCCTTCCTGCAACTGGAACTGGCATAGAGGGCCCTACAATTGAGGGCTACTGCCTCTCAATTGTATCGAAAACTCTCAGAAGAACTAATCGTAGACAGCATCTCCTCCCTCCAGCGACAAGTCACCTCACTTGCAACAGTCGCTTTACAGAACCGTCGCTTTACAGAACCATCGGGCCCTTTACTTCCTTACAGCCGAGAAGGAAGGCACTTGCCTCTTCTTGGGGGAGTAATGCTGTTACTACGTAAATGAGTCCGGGGTGATCCAAAAGAACTTATACCATTAAAGGCAAGCATTGATCACCGACACAAAGGGTTACAAAACATAAACACACCTGAGGGGGTGGCTCCAGTCACTGAACCCTTGAATACCCTGGCTTATGCCCCTACTAGGACCCCTAACTGTGCCTCATCCTACTCTTTGGTCCCTGTCTTTTTCGGTGTTTCTCTAATTTCTTGCAGGAATGAATACAGGCTTTCACCGATCAAAAGGTTGCTGAATTGTTCCTGTGAGGAGGATATCAGCCCCTCAGAATCAGCGACCCTTCCCCGAAGGAATACAGCCTCCCCACAAGAAACTAATACCCCACCACCTAACTGTTTTACTCGCCAACATAAATCTTTTATTTTTTCCATATCTTCACCCATCTCCAGCAGGAAGTAGCTTCAGAAGAATGAGACCTCCGCCCCTTTTCCTATGCTTAAAAGGCAAGAATAAGAGATCTGCAACATAATCAGCACCATTTTAGACAAGCCCAAGTACAAAATGGCACCACCCACCTTCTTCCCTCCTGTTCTCTTTTACAAGAAGCCTCATGGTTTTGGAGAAAATGAAACTTTTGGCATTTCTGCATGCACGGAACTCTCCATTCCCATGACCTAATTCAATCCCTACCCCGGAATTACATCACCAAGCTCTTGGCACCAACATACCAATATAAGCTCCCACCACCCTAGGTTAGCAGCTGTCCCCCATTTTCAGGGCAACCCTGGGCTGTTCCCCACTTCGAGCACAGCCCAGCAATTTTCAGGGCAGCTGTCCCCCATTTTCAGGGCAACCCTGGGCTGTTCCCCACTTCGAGCACAGCCCAGCAGAATCTTTTCCTTTAATAAAGCCTGAACTGTACCTGGCATCTTGGCTCACTTTCTTTTAAATATGACACATATACATCAGGCCTTAGTATAGCTGACTTACATTTAATATCCGCATACAAATGGCTGATTGTAAATCTATCTTTGCCTTCAGGTGCCCAAGCAATTCTTTCTGCCATGAGGTACAGAGCTCCATCCTGCTTTTTTTGACGCACCTTCTTCACAATCAGCAAAACTTCTTCAGATGAAGTTGCCATGATGGCTAAAATGTGCTAATAAGAGGGGGAAAAAAAAATTCCACACATCAATTAGAGTTGGATTTGTTGACTTTTAGAGACACTTCCAAATCTAAAACCTAAACTGCAAGAAATTAACGAGGAAAAGTCTCTTCTCTTATTCAGAGTTGAAGATAAAGTTGCACAGCATTATTCCTCTACAATCAAATTTCATTTTGCTCATACTACAGGTGCAAATTTATACAATACTCAATAGTTTACAAAACTTGGCAGTTTTTCAAACCATTTCCACATATGCTAATGAGGATATTTTCAATTTACTTTTATTTTCTTCAGTTACATTCTTAAATCATAAACACCACTGAACTGCAAATATGTGGTCTTGTCTATACTTAGAACTGTAGAACTTCATAATTACACAGAGCCCTACTGAATGTTTAGTTCAAATTTCTTTCAACTGAAACAACAATGGCCACAGAACTTGTGTGACCTTCCCAGAATCATTCCTGGAGCTGAAAGCACACCAAAGTTTCCTAATTTCTGGCTTAAGTTTCTTCTGTGTACCAGAAAATAAGACTGAGAGAATTTGATACTTAGCACTTTAGATGCTAGTTTCCCATCTTTCAACAATCAATCACACGTCTTCACCTGCTCTCTACCACGTCTTGGCCAAGGATTCATTTGCATATAGTTAACCAGTTACCTAGAAAATAACCTGGAGCCCCCTTTATCATCCCTTTTCTGGGAATCTTCAATGCCCAACCCAAATCTTTGAGGCTTGAGTGTGGCTGTCTGGAACGTGAGGCTGAAAAGGACTTTGGGGCTGTCTGGGCTCAGAGGGAAAGATGCCATGACTACTGATGATGTTTGACATGGGCCAGGATGGGGAAAGCTGTGGCACAAAAGCCACATATGAACATATTTCAAGAAGTTGGAGGAAAAATAGAATTAAAAGATAATACGAGTCTTTCTATGAACTTTTTGAAGTGCCTGCACATATGTCATTTCTGATGAAGTTATGACTTTAGTTTGCATTCCCTAAGAAACGGTTTAAAATATAATTTGAAAAAATTTACTTCTTCACGCACAGTTTCAAGTATAATTTTGGAGAAGTTAGCATTTCTAGGTGTTATAAAAATTAAGTTTGCCCTGAGCAAACAAGTAAAGCTTTAGTGAAATGATTTTCCTGAAGGTTAAAACAAATGGGAATAATGAAATATTGGCTCTGCCTTTAGTCATTCGAATAATCGAGGAGAACTTCTATTGGGACATACAGAAAAATAAGCATTAGGAAGAGAACAGTGGCAGGCATTAAAAACAATGAAAAACAGGTATTCTTACATAAGGACAAAAATAAAATAAAAGGGCCAGCCGGTGGCTCACTTGGGAGAGTGCGGTGCTGATAACACCAAGGCCATGAGTTTGGATCCCTATATAGAGATGGCCGGTGAGCTCACTTGGGAGAGCGTGGTGCTGACAACACCAAAATCAAGGGTTAAGATCCCCCTACCGGTCATCTATTTAAAAAAAAGAAAAAAAAAAGTAAAATAAAATAAAGACACATTACTTCTGAAACTATCACCTCTTAGGATTAATGAAAAATATCACTGATTGGGCTGGCCCAGTGGCGCACTTGGTAGTGCGGCGCTTGGGAGTGCAGCGGCGCGGGACTGGTCTGGTCCGCTCACTGGTTGAGCGCGGTGTGGGCGCGACACCAAGGGTTGCGATCCCATTGCCGGTCGTGGTATGGGCACGACACTGAGGGTTGCGATCCCGTTACCCGTCATGAAAAAAGACAAAAAGGAAAAAAAAAAATCACTGATTTATTTTGAGTGGTCATATCTCCCCTTTTATAGGTCTCTTCTTTTATAAGTCTTTATAGGCTATTCCACCTCAAGAATGAACAGGAAAAGGGTCAGTGTGAATACATTTATTCAATAAAGTTGTACCAAACCACGGAGCCTAGGGGCTACCCAAAGATGAATGTAGCAATTTCTGCTTTCAAAGAGCCTCCAGTGTAGTAAGCAAGATGCATGCGTATGTGTGCTATTTCTTAGTACATACAAATTAGAATGTATGAAGTCCCAAAAGGGACACAAAAAATGTTCAGAGTTAGGAATCTGGCAATTTCTTTACTTGGAAAATCTTACAAAAAGTTTGCTATAAAATTTCTTAACAGCAATTTTAAAAAACTGAGGTATAATTAACAAACCAACAAAATGCATACCCCAAACAAGACATAGAAAATTTCATCATTCCTAAAAGTTCCCTTATGTTTCTTTCCAGTCAATTCTCTTCCTCCCACCCTTCAGCAATATTTTCCAATTTCTAACACCACAGTTTAGTTTTTGTCTGTTCTAAGATTTCATAAAAACAAAATAACACAGTACATACTCTTTTGTCTCTGGCTTTTTACTTAACGTGTTTTAAAAAATTCACCGTATTGTTGCATGTATAAATAGTTCGTTCTTTTTTATACATAAGTTAATTATAAACTGGGTCTGGAAGAGAGGATTTTGAAAGAGAAAGTAAAGGGAAATAGGCATTATAGGCAAAGGAAATGGTCTGGAGCAAAGGACTGAAACTCTCTAGGAATGGTAAGTAGTCCGCTCTGGATGCAGCATAAGGTTCATGACGGAGATCAGTGGGATATGAAGCTGGATGGTTAAGAGGGAAGCAGACAGGAAAGAATGCCACCTTATGTGGTAAACAACAAGGCTTTTGAATTAGGCAGTGATTTGTATTTCAGAAAATTAATCTGTGGGCAGCATAAGAGACTGGAGAGAGACCAGAAGGGGTTTCTGAAACAGGATGGTGGAAGTGAGAATGAAGAGGAAGGGACAAGGAGGACCACTGAGGAAGCAGGATGAACAGACACTGTAATTGCTAATGGAGATGTCACGGTTGCTTGCCCAGACTCCACTTCTAAGCTCTACTGACATGAATATGGTGGTACCATTTACAGAAATAAATGAGAAGGAAGAGCAGGTTTGAACGTGAAGACAAAGAATTCAGTTCTACGCATGACGAGTGTGAGGCACTGTTGAGTCATGCAGGTGGGGGTAATCTGCATTATGTGGGCATTTGTAAATGTCGGAATGAAACCTAATTAGATGACTATTTTTAATGAACAAATAACAATAAAGGGATTTTTAAAAATCCACAATCCCACAATCCTAACATCAATTTTCTTCATTTTAAATTGTGTTTATCTTATCTGTACCCACCTTACAAATGCAATTATGAAGTACATCCAAGTTAATTATCTTGTGTTTTTCACTTGCCACTGTAAATATTTCCCCATGTTGTTTTACAATCTCCAGTTTTGATATCCACATACCAAATGTGATAAAGGGTCAAAATTCTTAATATATGATCCTGGTGGCGCACTGCTATAGTGCGCTGCTTTGGGAAGCGCAGTGGCCCTCCTGCCGAGGGTTCGGATCCCACATACAGACTGGCCGCTCACTGGCTGAGCGAGGGGCG